GGTGGTGGTACTGTAGTAGTAGTAGTAGTAGTAGTAGTAGTAGTAGTAGTAGTAGTACTATTACTACTACTGCTGCTGCTGCTGCTACTACTACTACGACGACGACTACTACTACTGCTACTCTTGCCATTATTGGTAGCATTGCTTTCTTGTGTTACCATGATTACTAAAACTACCACTGTTAGTAGTAGTAGTAGTAGTAGTAGTAGTAGTACTACTACTACTACTACTACTACTACTACTACTACTGTGAGTTCTATCACTACTATCATCACTATCATTACCACTACCAAATGCTTGAATTACTATGAATAGTTACGGTAGACAGGAACTTCAGGGCACTCTCATGGATTCAGAGACTTCCGTCGCCTCCGGCAGTTGTTCAGGGGGTTGTTGTAGCTTGGGCTTTGGGCTGCAAGAAGTGGAGTCCAGGGCCTTTATGTTCAGGGCCAGGCCAAGCCCGTCCAACGGGGAAGGACAGCCAGCTGAACATTATTCGCATTATTTATCATTAGTTCTCCTTCCTATTACTAGTAGCATAATTACTGTTACAAGTACCACTACTAGCACCATCGGTAGTAGTATCTATGTAGTTATGTTTCGTATTGATAATGAGAAGCCGCTGTCACAACGGTAGCATTGAGGTTTGCTGCAGGATAGTGAAAGCCTGCTGCCTGTACCCAGACTCAACACATGACAAAGGCATAAAATCACCACAAGGCCTTCGGGACCCTTGCGTTTAGGGTTTATCCTGCTGGCTAGCTGTAGGACTATGTGGTTACTGTAAGGGCTTCTATACGGGTTCTATAAAGTCTATAGATTAGAGTTTGCTGTTTTGTCTCTGCAGCTGCTGGCCAACAGTTTGGGATGCTTTGTGGTTCTGCAGTTCTGGAGAGAATCACATGCTCCATCGCCTGCGGATGCCAACCCCCCACCATCTGAAAAGAAGCAAGGATCACTGCAAGATACTCTTCAAAACCCGTTGTCTACGTATGTGCAACTTCGCCGAGGGGCACGAGTAGACTCGCCACCCTGGTCCTTTCCGGCGTCGTCTGGGTTCTGCCCTCGGAAGCTTCCTTTAAAGCATCGTCTCTTGAGACTTTCAGGGGCCCTGGGGAGGCCGCGGGGATGTGAAAGGAAGCCTCCGAGGGCCCGGGCCCGGGCCCCAGGTGGCGGCGAAGAAGCGGACGCGGGCGGAGGACCTGCGCAAAACGGATGGGTTCGTGGAGGTTCATGGGTAGTTATAAGTAGGGTTATAAGTCCCCTAATATGGGCTATAACTCTAGTTACCCTACTTATAACCCCCACTTATAACTACCCCCTAAACCCTAAACCCTAAACCCTAAACCCTATAGAACCCTTTAAAAGGAACCCTTAAAGGAACCCCATAACCCCACTTATAACTACCCATGAACCTCCAAGTTGAGAGGCCTTGAGCTGTCCTGAGATCTACGGGGCATAGGGGTCAGGGCTTCTGACTCAGGAGAAATTTCTGGTCACCATCTCCTTCTGATGCCAAACGGCACTTGTTTCAGTCTACGTTACCTGCACAATCCAATGCTGCTTAGCTACTTCTAGCGTGGCATCACGGTCGCCATCATCATCAGTACGAGTACGTAGCAGCAGCAGCAGCAGCAGCAGCAGCAGCAAGAGCGCCCAAGACCACCGTCAGCACTGCAGCGCAGCATGCAGCCACAAGAGCATCGGTAAAGGACAACAAAAGTGATAAAAACCCTAAATCCTAAACCCTAAACCCTCAACCCTCAACCCTAAACCCTAAACCCTGAACCCCTAAAAGCCGGTGTGCCTTCATTTGCACCCCACGCGCATGGGCCATGCGCTTTTGTTCTTTTGGGGTGTTCTCCCAAAAAACGCCGAAACCCTTTAGGGTTCCGGGTTCTAAGCCCCAGACCCAAAGCCCTACACGCAAAGCCTAAAGCCCCTGCAGCATCAGAGAACGCCCAGCGGCCTCGGATTCGATGCCTTCGGGCGGCACCTGAGCCAGATCTGTGTAGGATTTAGAGGGTTCGGGTTCTGGGTTCAGGGTTTAGGATTTAGGGTTTGGGAAATTACTTGAAAGAACTGGGTTTAGAGCCTCTGAAAACTCCCAACAATGGAAACCTAAGATTTCAAGGGGCTCCAGATCGTTCAAAGCCGTGTGTTGATCCAAGTAGGTTTGGATTGGGCTTTGGGCTATTAGGGCTTCGGGCTTCTGGGGTTTCTGCATGGTTTCCCGTGCAGTGATGGCCGGGCGAGATTGATAAATCACAATGTCCAGGTTTCTGGCATGAGGCTTCCATGCAGATTCTGGGATCCAACAACACACAGAGACAGAGGAGTTTGAGCAGAAGGCATGGGGCGTCGGGCTTTGTTGTCGGTTTCGGTTTGGGATTTCGGGCTTCAGTGTCAAGGGCTCCGGTTTCTCGTATGATTGATTGTTGTGAGTCTGTAGATAGACAGATAGATAGATAGATGGATGGATGGATGGATGGATAGATAGATAGATAGATGGATAGAGATAGATAGGTAGATAGATAGATAGATAAATAAATAAATAAATAAATAAATAGATAGATAGATAGAGAGAGATAGATAGATAGATAGATAGATAGATAGATAGATAGATAGATGGATGGATAGATAGATAGATAGATAGATGGATAGATAGAGAGAGAGATAGATAGATAGATAGATAGATAGATAGATAGATAGATAGATGGATAGATAGAGAGATAGATAGATAGATAGATAGATAGATAGACAGATAGATAGACAGATAGATAGACAGATAGATA